CCAAGCTGTAAAGGGACTATAAATCCCAGCAATGCATTATAGAGCAGTGCAGAATACCACCAGCTATAGAGGACTACAAATCCTAGCAATTCATTATACAGCAATGCAGAATAGTATCTCCAATAGAGGACTACAAATGCCATCATTGCAGAATAAAAGGAAACTACATACTCTGTGTTGCTCACCATGGCTGTGCGGCATCTCAGGAGGCTGTGCAGGGTCTGACCAGGGCTGGGCGGGGTCTCGGTAGGATGTGCAGGGTCTCACCAAGGCTGGGCGCGGTCTCAGTAGGATGTGCAGGGTCTCACCAAGGCTGTGCATAGTGTCACCAGGGTTGCATGTGGGTGTCACCAGGGCTCTGTCCAGTGTGTCACCAGGGCACTGCACCATGTCTCACTAGGCTGTACAGGTGGGTCCAGGGCTGTGCCGGTCTCTGCAGGAAGGAGAAAGAGGAGATGTCGGGCCGGAGCAGCTCCTGTAAAAGACAGTCGCCACAAGGTCCCCAGCAGGCTGTCTGAAGTCCCCAAGAAGCAGGGGACCATAGGCAGCCACTCCTGTTTAAAAATCTAAAGGGCAGGTATCAGCCTTTAGTATCGGGGCCCAGTATCGGTACAGATACTAGTATCGGTGCATCCCTAATTAGAACAGGAGAACGTCGATTCTCGACAATCTGTGTGGTTGCTGCGCTCTTGGGGTGAACCTCTAAAGATGTACAGGAAAAGCAAAAAGAGTCTATGAGTGCGTGCTTTACCTTCAGTTTTGGAAGGACTCTGTATGTGAGATGCAGTGCTCTCCCGACAGCAAGGCTGGCAGCAGATGCCGAGAAAACAAAAGCCTATTGTCATCCAATAATGTGTTTTTTGTTTCTCTAATTTTGTCTAGCTTAAAATTGTTCTCTAATACTTTTCATTGCCTACAACCAATAAGCCTAATAGTCAGGGGCGTAACTAGAAATCACAGGGCCCCATTGCAAAATTTTGTGTGGGGCCCCGTGATTTCTACTTATACCCCTTGCAGAGCCCACTGGAGATCCCACCTGAGGGTGACCCTGCAGAGCCCACCATAGACTCTCTATGGTGGGCTCTGCGGGATCACCCTCAGGTTGGCTGGTCGCACTCCTTACCTCCTCCGCCGCCGGGCCCGCCTCCTTCGTCACCGAGGCCGCCTCCTCCCCATCAATACCAGCACAGAGAGCCCCCGCCCTCCTCAATACCAGCACAGAGAGCCCCCGCTGCTGCTGGCTCTCATTGACTGTGGAGACGAACACGCCGCTGCACAGATGATCTGAACAGAGGCGTGTTCGTCTTCGGACGCCAGTGAAAGCCAGCAGCAGAGCATCCCATAGCGACCCAGGCGGCCCGCACGGCATCTGGCCGGGCCCCACTCTGCCCCGGGCCCCATTGCGACCGCCTGGGTCGCTATGGTGATTGTTACGCCACTGCTAATAGTAGTCCAGCCCTGAATCCCAGGCCAAGTGACATATGGATGTGTCTAGTTTTGGTGGTTGACCTATAGCCTCATCCCTGTAGTTGGTGTCAGGTTTGCAGGTCGCCATACCATAGGAGATGAGAGGTTCCATTATCTGTGGACATTTTTGTGGCCTCTTCTTTGGTCATCTTAGCATAGTGCAAATATATTGGGCTTTCTGACCATGTGCTACGCTCAGTGCTTCATGCGTAGTATCACTGATTTGATTTATCATCCATTTATTTCTTTTAAAGCTTGAATTTTTGTAACCTATTTGATGTTTATTTTTCCATTTTTGTATTCCATATTTATTTCTCCAAGAAACAATTACTACAAGGTGCATTGAGTGTGATAAGAAAGTCCAGTACTGCGTGCTTGCTATATGGCAGCTCCTGCAGGCTGGAAATACAGTGAGTGCAGTAAAGAGGGAGCAGGGGTGTGCCCCTATGCTGCCTGATTAACCCCTTGCCATCTTCCTGTTGTAAATACACCGGCGGACGCACATTTACGTGATTTTTTTCTTTCTGCTCAAGCGCCCTAGAGGGAATCCGCAAAATTATTTTAACAGCCGTTACCGGCTGTGACATACAAGCGTTCAGCCCGCTCTATAGCAGCCCGATTGCTGCAGATAGGCTATCCATGGCTCCACTGTCCCCCCTGCGGGCCCGGGACTGGCACAGCAGCTACTTGCAGTAAGAACGGAGAAGAGATCAGCATTCCATGATGTGTGTAATTTAAGCTCCTGCTGTTTAGGTGTATTTACAGCACAAAGCTATTCACAAGGCAGCAGTAAATCATTCACCAAAACTGGAGGTGTAACGCAGCAGTCACAACATGCGTGCTGCAAACTCCAGTCTGGTAAATATGAAAGAATGCTGTGCATACTTGCACATGAGGGCAAAAACAAAAATATTGCCAAGCTGTTTACTTCTAGCTTAAAAAATAAATAAATATATATATACAGGGCTGTGTTAATTTGTATATCAACATAAAACTGCTGTACCTCTCATCCAACCTGATCCCCAGTCATTAGGTGCAAGTTAAATCCTCTACACCCGGATAACAACAGCACAAACTCCCCCAAAACATATGATCTTTATTATAGAATCATCTCATCCGAAACCGCAAAATCTCTAAAGGTGCCCATACACCTTGCGATGATCGTACGATAACCGCAAGGTGTATGGCAGGCGTGCGACCGTTTCTACTGTACGGTCGCACGTCTTTTGTCGAACCAGCATGCTCGAAAACCCGCCGAGAATCGTGCGATTGTCGGCGTGTTTCTAGCCCGCTTGTTCGACAACTGCAGAACGGGCCGGTGCGCACACTGCCCGTTCAGCATTGCGGTCATCGCAAACTCGCCCCTCGAGGCGGTCTTGCGATGATCACAAGTACGATCTGCCTGTCCAAGATAGGCAGATCGTACGAGCTTTTAATTAGCTTACGACCATCGCCAGACAAAAGTCTTGCGATGGTCGTAAGGTGTATGGGCACCTTTACACGTTTCAGCCTTAGTCATGGCTAAGACTAAGGCTGGGTTCACACCTGAGCGTTTTTTGTATGCTCGTTTTTCAGCTTGTTTTTTTTCACGTTTTTTTCGAAGGCTGTTTAGGCAGAAACATATAATCAGTTTCATGAAGATGAATGAAGAGGATTCTAGACTAAGGGCTTGTTCACCCCAAATGGAGACCAGATCCGCATGAGTTTCTGCACAGGGGCTTGCTGCAGTTTTTTCACCTGCTCTGGAACTGAACACTGCAGTGTGGACTAGAGCCCAAAATACCATTGGAATACATTGGACGCAGTTTTGGAATACATTGGACGCAGTTTTGATCCGGTCTGTAACTGCTCTGCTCCTGGAACGCGCTTGGTGTGAACTAGCCGTAAAGATCACATTTTGGTGGAGTTCTGGCGCTGGCATCTTTGGATATTACTGTGTCAGTTTGTGTCTTTTATATCTGCCTGGACATCAACAGAAACCGATAACTATGATAAAATATCTAACTTTACATATAATAAAGACTGCACACTTCCTCTAAATACAAATGGATGTATGTTGATTGATTACAAGCTGTGACTTATTATTGCGACATTCACCTTTTATTGTAATATAAACATTTTTTTTTTTTTTACCCAGTTCCATTTTTTATGACTTTAATCTTTTTTTGCAGTGGTAAGAGTCTCCCTACCTCTATCAATGAAACAATATGTATACACAAGCCATAGCTTCCCTATGAATAACGTGGCATTGTTCTGGTTTACGGGTAGATCTGGTGCTCGTAGGAATTTTAGTATTTTCTTGCTGTTCCTCTAGCTTTCATGGCAAGTCCACAAGGGAGCCATTCCAGGCCGTGTCTGTCTACGGCATTTGGCTGAGCATTTCTGCGAGCTTTGATCTCGCTCTCTCTCTCCCCATGGAGGGCTGCAGGCCTGCAGTCTGGACCATTTCTGCAGTAATTGTTCTCAGCCTGAGCTCTTTTTACGCGACCTGTCATGAGCTTCACACAGCACGTTTGCCCTTTGTGCAGGTTAAAAGGTTTCTTGGCATTTGCCTGTGGGAGGGGGGGGGGTACGGCACTTGACAAGCGCCATCCAGACAGATCCCCCCCTTTCCCCATTTGCCTTGTCCTCAGAGGTCTCTGGATAGTACACCTGCCTGGCCTCAGCTACAGGCCCAGCTATAGCTTGGAAAAAGGCAGAATTTATTTAGTGTAACTTAGAGCCCGTCTCCTGTAGCGGGTCATTCCAGGGCTAAGTCTTCACAGACATATTTGGGCTGATTTAAGTTGGAACTCCAGTCAAATGGTTTCAAAATGTTTAAAGAAAGTTTCTAGTAGCAAAGCTCTTTAGATCTCTTTGTGTGAACATTTAAAGCTGAACTCCAGGTGAACGGCTAAATACTTACAAGGGAACTGTGTTGCCTGCCTAAGGAATTGTATTTCTGCCCATGCAGTTTTGATATTTACACAGTTCAGTTGTATAGCAAAAGGCTTTACCGGCATTTGGAGCAATCTTGCTAATTACACCTAAGACACCCGCCAATGTTATCAGTACACACTTTGTTAAACAGTACCGGGCCCTGACGAAGGGGGGCCCTTTGAGTCCCCGAAACATATTTACTTTTTTTTTAATATGTACTACATACATTCTGCTTTAGGCACTTTCCTCATTGCACACCTAGTCCTTATAGAGCACAGCCAGGTGGATCAAACTTCTTTCTTTGTTCCACAATGAGTGGTAGATCCCATATGGTCATACCCTGAGTGGTAGATCCCATATGGTCATACCCTGAGTGGTAGATCCCATATGGTCATACCCTGAGTGGTAGATCCCATATGGTCATACCCTGAGTGGTAGATCCCATATGGTCATACTCTAGATGGTAGTGCTGACTTTAGCTATAAATAAGCTTCACAGGCCAGAAGAAAGACTGGCTTCAGTTCTACTCTAAGACAAAGTCGTGTTATATTATGATGTGAGAGTGAGACCTGCCGCATCGCCGTGTCCCATAACTCATGTCTGCCTTTCCCTAGGCTCAGCAACAGAGAAGTATGGACAACATGCTGTCCGGGCAGTCCAGAGGAGGCCTGGGGAAGAGGTATAAGAGAGACCTGTGCCCCAGCCCAGAGGTGAACGGCACCAGCCCCATGTCAGAACAGGACTCCGGGATCCTGGATGTGGAGGATGAAGATGAGGAAGAAGAGGTAACACCATATTATTCTTGTGTATAAACCTTGATGTGTGCCCACAGGAAAGGTCAGTCAGGGCTGATTCTGATGGAATGAGATATAATCTAGCCATGTATGGCTTCTACAGACATTGATTTATGTGACTTCGGACTGATTATCTGTTCCCTAAAGTGATTGCACTACCTTCAACCAGGGAAGGCCGAATATAAGCAGATTATCTTCAGCTTTGAGTTGTCACCCGAACAGGAATAAATGGGAAATATTCCCATGGGACAGTTGCTGCAGTTGTGTCTACTGGATGGAAAGTTGGGGAAATCTTCCCAATGGGAAACTAATGGAAAATAAAAAGCTGATAGAGGCTTTAACCTTGCCCTAGCCAATCCAAAATGAATACATATTGGCTTTTGATACAGTCTGGGCAGAAATGATCTTAACCCTTGCAGTGGGACTGCTTCCACATTGGAAGGGTTAAGTGCTCATTTTCGTGTATGGTGTAAAATAATAAAGATAAACTCAGCTGATCCTCAGAGCTGACTGGCTGCTACACTTGTTTCTGTAGCCCTGCATCCCCTCTGCTCCAGTAATGTAATGTCCCTCGGCATCGTCACATCCTATACCCAATATTGGACGTGATGCGGGGGAGAGAGTGAGGCTGCAGGGACCGGGTTATTTTTGCCCATAGTTCTTCTTTAACCACTTGAAGACCAGGTGTTTACATCCCCTTCTTGTCCAGGCCAATTGGGCTGATTTAAGTTGGAACTCCAGTCAAATGGTTTCAAAATGTTTAAAGAAAGTTTCTAGTAGCAAAGCTCTTTAGATCTCTTTGTGTGAACATTTAAAGCTGAACTCCAGGTGAACGGCTAAATACTTACAAGGGAACTGTGTTGCCTGCCTAAGGAATTGTATTTCTGCCCATGCAGTTTTGATATTTACACAGTTCAGTTGTATAGCAAAAGGCTTTACCGGCATTTGGAGCAATCTTGCTAATTACACCTAAGACACCCGCCAATGTTATCAGTACACACTTTGTTAAACAGTACCGGGCCCTGACGAAGGGGGGCCCTTTGAGTCCCCGAAACATATTTACTTTTTTTTTAATATGTACTACATACATTCTGCTTTAGGCACTTTCCTCATTGCACACCTAGTCCTTATAGAGCACAGCCAGGTGGATCAAACTTCTTTCTTTGTTCCACAATGAGTGGTAGATCCCATATGGTCATACCCTGAGTGGTAGATCCCATATGGTCATACCCTGAGTGGTAGATCCCATATGGTCATACCCTGAGTGGTAGATCCCATATGGTCATACTCTAGATGGTAGTGCTGACTTTAGCTATAAATAAGCTTCACAGGCCAGAAGAAAGACTGGCTTCAGTTCTACTCTAAGACAAAGTCGTGTTATATTATGATGTGAGAGTGAGACCTGCCGCATCGCCGTGTCCCATAACTCATGTCTGCCTTTCCCTAGGCTCAGCAACAGAGAAGTATGGACAACATGCTGTCCGGGCAGTCCAGAGGAGGCCTGGGGAAGAGGTATAAGAGAGACCTGTGCCCCAGCCCAGAGGTGAACGGCACCAGCCCCATGTCAGAACAGGACTCCGGGATCCTGGATGTGGAGGATGAAGATGAGGAAGAAGAGGTAACACCATATTATTCTTGTGTATAAACCTTGATGTGTGCCCACAGGAAAGGTCAGTCAGGGCTGATTCTGATGGAATGAGATATAATCTAGCCATGTATGGCTTCTACAGACATTGATTTATGTGACTTCGGACTGATTATCTGTTCCCTAAAGTGATTGCACTACCTTCAACCAGGGAAGGCCGAATATAAGCAGATTATCTTCAGCTTTGAGTTGTCACCCGAACAGGAATAAATGGGAAATATTCCCATGGGACAGTTGCTGCAGTTGTGTCTACTGGATGGAAAGTTGGGGAAATCTTCCCAATGGGAAACTAATGGAAAATAAAAAGCTGATAGAGGCTTTAACCTTGCCCTAGCCAATCCAAAATGAATACATATTGGCTTTTGATACAGTCTGGGCAGAAATGATCTTAACCCTTGCAGTGGGACTGCTTCCACATTGGAAGGGTTAAGTGCTCATTTTCGTGTATGGTGTAAAATAATAAAGATAAACTCAGCTGATCCTCAGAGCTGACTGGCTGCTACACTTGTTTCTGTAGCCCTGCATCCCCTCTGCTCCAGTAATGTAATGTCCCTCGGCATCGTCACATCCTATACCCAATATTGGACGTGATGCGGGGGAGAGAGTGAGGCTGCAGGGACCGGGTTATTTTTGCCCATAGTTCTTCTTTAACCACTTGAAGACCAGGTGTTTACATCCCCTTCTTGTCCAGGCCATTTTTCAGTATTCAGCGCTGCAGTACTTTCTGCTTCACCAGATTCTCTCCGGCTTCTGTAGTCGGGGAATGACAGCTGAATGCGGAAGTGATGTGATAAACATCACTTACGAACTCGCAACACTGTAGGGGAGATCAGAAGGAGATTGTGCACTGAGCTCCCTCTGTTCTTCCTGCATAGAGACACAGTCCTGGCATAGAAAGCCAGGATGCACAGCACAACATACTGTGTATACTCGAGTATAAGCCGTCCCGAATATAAGCCGAGGGGGGGCACTTTTCAGCCAAAAAAATGGGCTGAAAATCTCGGCTTATACTCGAGTATATACGGTACAAGCAATCGGGCGTCTCTACAGACGATGGACCGATTGGATGTAAACAGCCATCGCTGGCTGTTTCAAATTTTGACAGGCGGCGCACACGAACATGCGCGGGCACAAAGGACGTTTTAAGACGCCCACTCACGTCTACAAGGCTCCCGTCTGGCCCTTTTCCTATGTTCGGCGGACGGGAGGTGGTTAAGGGTGCCGAGTGAGACGTAGGCAAAATATTAACAATGACTTTCAACTCCTCCCATGCTCGCTTCCAGGACTTCACTAGAGCCTCTCCCATCCTATGGAACTCTTTACCCCAACCTCTCCGTCTATCTCCCACCTTGACTGCCTTTAGGCGTTCCCTAAAGACTCATCTCTTCAGGGAAGCCTATCCCACCTCAACCTAACCACTCAACCATCACATTCTCATACAATTCATCCCCACACAGCTCCCTCCTCATGTATCACTGGCCCCTCCCTTTTAGATTGTAAGCCCTCAGGGGCAGGGCCCTCCTTACCATCTTGTCTTGAATTTTATTGTGACTGTAATGTCTTCCTTATATTGTAAAGCGCTGCGCAAACTGTTGGCGCTATATAAATCCTGAATAATAATAGGCAGATTTACTGCAAAGCAGTGGTTGGTAATCATTGTGCCGGCCCCGTTCCATTCCTATGTGTGAGACTTATTGTTTTAGACTGGCTCATGCCAAGGGACAACTTTAGATGGCTTTACCATTGTTATCATAATGATAGACTAATTACAAAGGACTCTTTGGTATGTGACTAATCTGAAATCTCCTCTCAGCTCAGTTTGGTTTGTGTCATATACATTTTATAGTCCTGACTTTGGTATTACTTGTTATTCATCTGTAATTTTTGTCCTTTATGGTTTTCAGGCACCGGGCACAAAGGACCTGGTAGACTTCTCCCCGGTATATCGCTGCCTACATATCTACACTGTGCTGGTGAGTGCTCACAATTCATACTGGACTGTAGAATCCCGATGGCAGCCACTAGGAAGCGGTACATCGGATAGATCAGATCATGCTGCTCATCCCACTTATATACACTATATGGCCAAACGTTTGTGGAGCCTGTCCATCACCCCTTTATGGGCTTGTCATACAGTCTCCCTTCTATCTCCCATCCTATGGAACTCTTTACCCCAACCTCTCCGTCTATCTCCCACCTTGACTGCCTTTAGGCGTTCCCTAAAGACTCATCTCTTCAGGGAAGCCTATCCCACCTCAACCTAACCACTCAACCATCACATTCTCATACAATTCATCCCCACACAGCTCCCTCCTCATGTATCACTGGCCCCTCCCTTTTAGATTGTAAGCCCTCAGGGGCAGGGCCCTCCTTACCATCTTGTCTTGAATTTTATTGTGACTGTAATGTCTTCCTTATATTGTAAAGCGCTGCGCAAACTGTTGGCGCTATATAAATCCTGAATAATAATAGGCAGATTTACTGCAAAGCAGTGGTTGGTAATCATTGTGCCGGCCCCGTTCCATTCCTATGTGTGAGACTTATTGTTTTAGACTGGCTCATGCCAAGGGACAACTTTAGATGGCTTTACCATTGTTATCATAATGATAGACTAATTACAAAGGACTCTTTGGTATGTGACTAATCTGAAATCTCCTCTCAGCTCAGTTTGGTTTGTGTCATATACATTTTATAGTCCTGACTTTGGTATTACTTGTTATTCATCTGTAATTTTTGTCCTTTATGGTTTTCAGGCACCGGGCACAAAGGACCTGGTAGACTTCTCCCCGGTATATCGCTGCCTACATATCTACACTGTGCTGGTGAGTGCTCACAATTCATACTGGACTGTAGAATCCCGATGGCAGCCACTAGGAAGCGGTACATCGGATAGATCAGATCATGCTGCTCATCCCACTTATATACACTATATGGCCAAACGTTTGTGGAGCCTGTCCATCACCCCTTTATGGGCTTGTCATACAGTCTCCCTTCTTCTGGGAAGGCTTTCCACGAGATTTTAGAGTGTGTCTGTGGGATTTTGTGCCCATTCAGCCCCCCTTATGAACAGTTTTGACAGTACTCTCATCGGCAGGAGGATGACAACAACCCCTGCACTTTGGAAGTAGGGGGAAAGGCTGAGTGTTTTAATTTTTTTCCCCCTACAGGTGTTTTTTAGGTCAATGCAGTGTTTTTCAGCAAACGGGAGGGGGGAACACTAAGGGAGTAGACATTGCATGGAGTGCAAGGTTCACTTTAAGGTCTCAGAATTAAAGTGACATTAAACCCTCAGATTTTTTAACATAAAACAATACTGTAATGTGCGCCTTACTGTAATCCATGGTTGTTTCCCTTCTCTTTGCTGCTCTTCCTTTTAAATCCGTCTCTCTTCTCGTGCTGGGGGAGAACTTGTATGGGCTTGTAACCTGGGCCAGCACTACAGGAAGAGGCCCTGAGCTGCAAAGGGAAGTTCTGCCCAGCATGAGAAGACATGAGGCTTTAAAAGGAAGAGCAGCAAAGAGAAGGGAAACAACCATGGAGTACAGTAAGGCGCACATTACAGTATTGGTTTATGTTAACAAATCTGAGAGTTTAATGTCACTTTAGGCAATGTCAGCTTGTGTCTGCTGGGGCCATTACATACCTGTTATTAACAGGATAATCATGGGGCTGACTCCATGTTGCTGCATCCCCTGAATTTGCCGTCACTGCTTACTGCCAGTATAAATTGCAGGCACCAAGAGGTGCATATACCTGCATCAGCCTCCTCAGCCTTCCTGTAGTGGCCTAATGCCACTTTGTTCTGACAGGCAAAGCTCTGGCATGTTCTGAAACTGTTCAAGCTTGCTGCTAAGTCCCCCCCACAGATTCATATTGGTCCATCACCATGATGGACAACCTCACTGGCCAGTAGGTATGTGCATGTTGCAGGAAAGTGCAGGCAGGAAAGCTTCAGTATTGCCAGGAAGTGTTGGCGATTAGTTTGTAAGGACTGCCTGAGATGTGGCTGTTTGGGAAAGGCGATAGGTCCGGTTACCTAGCACCGTCCACACACCATAGGAGTCCCCCAGGTTCCTTCATTTTTAATTCATGCAAAACAACGGATCTGAGATTGAAGCACCACACCACAAGTTAATAGTCCTGATAGAATTTCCTTTCAATGCAGGGTCAAGTAGAAGGTCAGAAGTGAAAGCCAACTTGTTTCCAGGTCCATACTCATTGGTTTGGCAGCTGACATGTCCTGTGTGTGATGCTATACTGGTCAAAATATAATCATACCCTCAATTATATCCAAATACTTTGTTTCTTATCCTTAAGCCCTGATGATGGGGGACAAGTTTGAACCACCGAAATGTGTTAGCTTCCTATTTTGATCTTCTGCCGGACCCTACATTAAAATTGAATTGTATCTGGGCTGTTTGATGGTGCGGCCCTTTGATCCTAGATCCCTTGAGATTAGGTTATGACACGCGGGTCAGGGAGGCTGGTGCACGAATATATATCTCCAGGTGTCTAAGCATCATACCTGCAGCAGTTTGACCCCTTTCCCCCCTGAATGTGCTGATTCTTTACCTGATCAGACTACAGTAAGGTGAAATCTTTTTGCCTGGGATTGGGGCTCGTCCTTCCCATAAGACCATTGAGCTGTCAGAGTCAGCTGATATCTGCCGGTGGTTGGATTTTAGGTGAATCACAGAGCTGTACCGATCCCTGGCCCCCAGCACTGCCATCAACCTGTCTCCTATGTGGGACATTTGTTCTAGTAACACCCGTCTTGGTGGATTTCACTCATTGACGCAAATACCACATGAGTCACTATAAATGCCTTGGAGACCAGTCACTCGTGTGTCATGACTTATTATTTTGTTTCTATTTCTTTTTCAGAAAGTCATATGCTAAAAGTTAAAGGAGAACTATGAGGTGAGTGCTTTTCACTCACCTCATAGTTCTAGCCGACCTGTGACAATGAGACTGTCCCAGGTCGGCTCAGTAGATCGGGAGGTGAGCAAACACATACCGGCGTTCACTCGCTTCACGATCCTGTCACGGCTCTCTGCCGTGACAGGGGAGGGGCTGGATTCCCCCCTCCCCGCTCCGATCCGCCAGCGCTGACTGGTGGAACGGACGGGGGAGGGGGCGGGTACAGCTGACTCTGCCTCTAGATAGGCAGAGCCTGCTGTCAGTCACGCAGCTGGGCGGATCCCGGCACAACTGTCGAGATCCGCTTCAGCTGCAGCGTCTCAGTATACCGCGAGCTACAGTTCGCGGTATACTGAGCCTAGGGTGACGGGAGGACGCTAGTTTGTGTCCTCCCGTTACCCTAAGGAGAACTATGGGGAAAAGCCTTAACCCCATAGTTCTCCTTTAACACCACATACCAAAAATAGCCATATTCTATTTTAGTTTTTCAACGGTGGCCAGTATGTTGAATCCAGTTTCCTTTCTCAGGAGTCTGCTGTTCAGGTCTCTCTAATAGACCTCCCTCTCTTACCAAATTCCGCAGATCGCATTGTCACTCTTCACCTGTACAGTAGAATAGAGGAGTATTTTAGAAGTTCATCTGTGACTCGGTTGCACCTACAGTGGATATATAAAGTCTACACACCCCTGTAAAAATGGCAGGTTCTTCAGATGTGAAAAAAATAGCTTTACGTGCGTTTTTATGCGTGTTTCAGCGAGTTTTACAGGCATTTTATGTTCATATGTAATAGATTTTTAAGGCGCGTTTTCAGCTAATTTTCAGCTGTAAAAAAGTGCAAAAACACGCTGATCAGTGCACTTCCATTAAGGTCTATAGAGCAAAATGAACTGATAAGTGCCATAAAAGAAGTTTAAAAAGAAAGACGTCACCAGCACTCCAACAATGATAATAACAGCAATTAGATGCTCATTTATTGACAGACGCTGTCTCTCATTGGCAAGCACTTTCGGGGCCACACAGGGTCCCCTTCGTCAGGCTCAAACGGAGGGGACCCTGTGTCATCTCTGAGCCTGACGAAGGGGACCCCTGTGTGGCCCCGAAAGCGCTTGCCAATGAGAGCCAGCATCTGTCAATAAATGAGCATCTAATTGCTGTGCTATTATCATTGTTGGAGTGCTGGTGACGTCTTTCTTTTTGTCTACGTGTGGCGGCACCATCCACAGTCATTTCGAGCACCCGTCTTTTTTTGGGGGAGTCCCGGTAAGGAGTGCGGCAAGTTTTCTTTTTTCTTATAAAAGAAGCTCAGGGACTATTTCAAACAGCGACCGATTCAGCGCGTTTGCATGAATGGCCCCCATTAGGAATACATGGGATTTTAATTTGCACGCGTTTCAGCGTGGGAAAAAAGCGTGTGACGAAGCGCCCTGGTGTAACCGGGGCCTCACTCATGGATTTCCCAATTTGGACCACCCCTCTTTGTGAAGAGCTGCCAAATTCAAGCCATTAGGCTCAGCCTATTGACTTTTCCTGATAAGTTAAAGATCTTGGTCCAGCGCCTCACCCCTACCTCTGCTTGAAGTAGTTTTAGCTGACTACGTTGCAAATTGTTCATCTGTTGTAAGTCTCCACAGAAAGTCACAGCTGTGTGAGGGAGCGAACGAATAAAATAAACGCAAGGCGTAGTTGTAGGCCTATATGGGAGTATCGGTCAGGTGACTTTCTTTCTGCAGGTCCTTGGAATCTCAAGCAGCTTTGGTGCGTGTTTTCCTGAGTTGGGAAAGTTTGTTTGAATATTGGTATGTCATCACAGTTCCCAGGAGAGCCACAATGAGAGGTTCATTTTCTTTTCTTTGTAAAGATCACACAGGGGATACCGGGATGTGTTGTTGCTTGCTCCCGTTTCGGTTAGTTTTCTCGTGCTGGTGGTGCAGTGCTATGGCCGAGGTCTCCCTGAGTTTACCAGTGACGTCGGCAGGTGTCTTGTCTCCTCTTGCAGAGTGACAGCACAGACCGCCTAAAGAATGTTATGTCCACCCAAGTTGTATCTTGTCT